TGGGGAGTGGATTGGCTGGGTCTGTGGGGAGCAGGGCTGTGCAAATCCATGCCCACAAACTCCAGAGAGAGCTAACGGTGTAAATCTTCTCCCTCTTCCTCCCCTGGGTATGTGTCCATCCCACCCCAGGATTTTGGAGAGGGTTGTGCGGTGCATGTGAGCTTGGCTTGTAGGGGATCACCGGGGCGGAGTGTGAGATGGGCTGGCTTAGGGGTGGGGAAATGGAGAAATAGGATATAGAGCCTTTCCTCTCTAGGGGGCGCTGGCTCTGATCTGCTCCTAGCTCAGGGTAGGGATGTGAAAGGTTGATGCTTACCTGTTGTGGTTAACCAGTGGGGGCTGAAGCAGCCCCCGCCCAAGGTGGGCCCAGTCTGGTGAATTGCAGGCAGCTCCAGCCTGGTCAAAGCAGCTCCCATGGCAGGGTGTGTGGGATTGCTACCATCTCCCTGTCCGCCCAATACATTTAAGCAGTGAAGTGATTAAATGGGATTTGACATCCCTAGCTGTAACTATTTTTGCAGTAGGGGTGCTAACAGCCATTGAAACAAACCATCAGCTCTGTACGTCCTGGAAACCCTCCAGCCTCACGCACCTATGAAACATTCATGCAGGCCCCCGCACTGCTGCCTCTCTCAAAGCAGCAGTGCAGGGCGACAGGTAGCCGATCCACAAGGGGAAATGCTTTTTAAACTGGCTCCCCTTGCGGACCAGCTCCCACCTGGCACCCCGCGCTGTTGCCTCTGCCACGGTGGTTGCTGGCCCTTCCCCCGGGAACTGCAGACTAGTCCACCAACCGATAAAAATGCGGCCCACGTCCGACCTGGCACCCCGCGCCATTGCCTTTGCTACAGTGGCTGCTGGCCCTGCCGCCGGGGTCTGTAGACTAGTCGACTAACGGATAAAATGTCAGTGAACTGCTATTTAACATCCCTAGGCTGTAATTGAATAATTGTGTAACTGCATCACATTTTAGCGGTTCCCCGACTATTCAGTAGTCCTCGGGGGTGGGGCTGGCAGCCAGGGTGCTCCTGGTTCCATCCCCAGGGAGCCCCCTGCAGCCTCTCACTGCTGCCTCTGTATCAGAGGCAGCAGCACAGGTGACAGGGTTAACCGATGAACTCAGGCTTATTGGTTAATCATTGAGTACACGTGGACATCCCTCATTCGCAGCGGGCCCCGGGTGTGTCTGGCTGGATGGGAGCACCCCCCCCTTAATTGGTTAACCAGTTAAACATCGTGTTCTGTTGGCTAACCAATTACAATGGATTTTACATCCCTAGCTCAGGGGTGCTGGGATCCCTTGTAAGTGCCCAGCAGACTGAGTGGCTTCAGTCCCGCTAATCCCTTCTCCCTTCCAGGACCTGTCGTCCTGCTGGGACAAGGTCCCCCGGGTGCCAGGCCCAGCTACGGCCCTCAAGTTCCACTCATCGCTGGCGGAGCGGCCGGTGGAAGCTGCCAGGATCCCGCTCTGGCCGGTGGCACCGTCCTCCCAAGTGTATCGGAGCAGAAGCTGAGCCTGCATGCGCTGCTGCAGGGCCTAGAGCCGGGGCGCCGCTGCCGGCCTGCTGCCCTCTCCCCCCTGCAGGGCATGGAGGCCTCCGTCACCACGGTGGATGGGCAGCAGGAGGACGACATCACCGTGCGGGATGGTGCCGGCCTGGACAGCGCCTCCCTGGACTCTCTGTACAGCCTGCTCCACGGCAGGCCCTGCTGGATGCCTTGCCAGCAGCTGCCAAGGCTGCTTCCGGCTTGCCCGAGAACCACGACCCCGGCATGGAGGAGCACCTGGCTGTCATGTACGAGAAACTCCAGCACGAGGTACGTCACGGCCCGGGTGCCTGGCTCCCCGGCCTCCTCCTTCCGTGTGCTGCCTGGATTCTGCTCCCCTCCCTTCCCTTTGTTCCCTGCCTGCGGGCCTGGGCTCATTCCCCTCACCCCTCTTGCCTGGCATCTCCCTCCCGCATTTCCCCACTGCTGCTGCCTGGATCTCTTCTCCCCCTGGGCTGCTTGGATCCTCAGGCTGCACCCCCTGCCCATCTCCTTCAGCCTTGCACTTCAGCAAATGCCCTTGAGGGTCAGAGGGGAGCACACACCGGTCCCTGGCCTGTCTGCTCAAGCTGTGAAGCAGGGGGTGGGCTAGGGCCTGAGAGGGTGACTTGCTCCTATACACAGACCCGTGGGCCATTGGGGGATCTTACTTGTTAGTGCAGCCCGTGAACCAGCCAGGGTTTGGGCATGGTATCTGAACCTGTATCACGGTGACACCTAGAGGGCAAGACAGGCCCTGCCCTGGCCGAAATCAGGGCCCCGATGTGCCGGGCGCTGCACAGACACAGCGAGAGACAGTCCCTGCCCCAGCTGAGATCAGGGCCCCGTTGTGCCGGGCACTGTGCAGACACACCAGGAAGTATGGCCTATGTTCAAGAGCTCACAATATACATGGCAAAGGGAGGATTATTCCACTGCCCAGAGATTGTGACATGCCCACCAGCACAAGGGGTTGGCGGCTGAGCTAGGACTTGAACCCAGCCCTCCTGGCTCCGGCCCCGTGACTTCCCATGGCCCCTCTTCCCTCACGGCGCCTTTGCTCTCCCCCTGGTTCTCCTGCAGCTGCTGACCTTCCTCCTGAAGGTGCCTGACTATGGGATCTACTCCCGGGATGTGGAGTTTGTGAATGAGATCTTGCACCTGAGAACTCGGTCAGTGCCAACGGGGGCGGGAGGGGAGGGGGAGTGGACCAAGCCACTTCTGTCATGGAGGTGAGAGGCAGGGGGGAGCAGCCCACTTTGCCTTTGGGGGGGGGGGAGGGGGTTGATCCAACTCTTCCCAAAGGGGGTGTGGATGAGTCCATATCCTGCTGAGAAGGTAGGGGGAGCAGCCTGTTCCACTCTCATCCTGGGGGCAAGTGGGATGGGCCACTGTTCCCACCACGACTGGCAGGGTTGGATCAGTCCGTTCGTCCTCTGGCCCCAGGGTGGATACCAAGTTGGGATCCCCTCAATCCAGAGGTGTTTCCTGGCCTGATGTGCCTCCCCCTCTCCCACGCACAGGGGCCTCGCCATGTACCAGCTGTCGCTATCCCTGTACCGCCTTCTGGCCTGGAGCTACTTCGCCAGCGTGCAGCTAGAGGTACTGAAACTGACGCGGCACCCCGAGAACTGGAGCATCCAGGCCCGCTGGCGCATCACGGGGCTGCCCTTCCACGTCCTCCTGCTGCGCTTCTACAGGAGGGACAAGCGGGAGCTGTTCAGGTGAGAGCCCGGGCTGCCCCACCCGCCCCCAGCCTCCCTCGGGCAGGGGCTGGGCTGTGGCTGGCTGGGGCGCAGAGGGGCTACCGTGGGGCTCTTGCGCAGGCACTCCCTGCCCAGTCTGCGTCCCGATGAGCTGGGCAGCCCCTCCGGGGGGCTGCCCCATCTCTTTCCTGGCTGGGCTTTGCAGGGCCATGACCTCCCGGGGCTGAGGACTGTTTAACCGCACACAAAGCAGTGGCCTCTGCTGACTCCAGAGATGAATTTCCTAGTCTCTACCACTGCTCCTCCCCAGCTGGGCTGCACAGGTGCTGATTTCTGCATTGCCAGGGAGGTGCTCCACCGTGAGGCCCCATCTCCTGAGGCCCTGCCCGCTCGCTGCTCCCTTACCTCCTCCCTGTGCTATTGGGCTGTAGCGAGGGGGTGCCAAGCATCTGTGGAGTCAGAGCCTATGAACAGCTACTCCCTGGGGGTGGGGATGCTGCTGGCTCTGCCTCTGAGCTGCTCAAAGCCCAAGGATTTGCTGTTCCCCTGGAGTACGTCCCAGCACCCTCTCCCCCCATGGTCCTAACAGCAGAGGTTCCCACACCCGGGGGAACGTGAGAACTCATGGGGGCGGGAAAAGATCGTCCCGTGCGTATTCTACCCGCGGCAGCGAATTACTAGCACAGCCAGTTTCTCCTCACGTGGCCCCGTGTCTCGGGCTCCAGGTAGCGCTGTGCGCTCTCATTTCTGTTCCGCTTGCGGCGTAGGGATGTTCCCATGTCATGGAATAGTTGTGGAACCGCATCAAATGTAAGTGGTTACACGACTCTTTGATAGTCCCTGGGACCAGTGGCCACTGGGCTCCCAGCCCCACTCCCGGGGAGCCCCCTGCCAGCCTGGGCTGCTGCCTGCAGCGCAGGGTGGCAGGTGGGAGCTGGTCTGCGAGGAAGGCCAATTAAAAAAACCCAGCTCCCCACACAGACTGGCTCTGCCTGCCCCCTGCGCTGCTGCCTCTGATACAGAGGCAGCAATGTGAGGGGGCTCCCCAGGAGTGGGCATAAGCACATTGGCTGCTGGCCTCACCTCCGGGGATTATTGAATAGTTGTGTAACTGATAAAATTTCAGGCAGTTACATGACTATTCAATTACACTATATCTAACATTCCTACTTTGAGGCACCAGGAGAGCTACATAGGATGAAGAAAGCAAAGTCTCTGTTACTCTTCACGGTGATGAATATTTTGCCCAAAGCTATAACTACCAGTTGCCTCTCTGGTGCTAAGACTCCTGGCATGGCACAATTAAGCCTACTAGGATTGCCCATCCTTTAGAGGATGTGTTCTTCTCATCTGATTCTGAACAAAGTGGGGAGGGATCCTCTATAAATTTCATTCTATATTTATGGTTTGATTTGATGGTCAAAGGATTCCTGTCTATCCCAGTTACAGGGGGTAATAGAATGTGCATGTGTCTTGCTAACATCCTCCCTGACCCTCTGCATACACTATTAAGTCATGGCCCTATTCAAATTTTTATGGTTTGAACCACGTGACACAAAGTACATGGCACCCAGGGGCATCATTTCAGATTTTGGTTGGGGAGCAACTTTAATCATGATTCTGCACAGTGGGTCTAACACGATGACCTCCCTATTGCAGAGCATTGTAGAGTCACTGCCCTCTGTGTGTCTCGTCTCCCCCCCCCAGCTCAGAGACAGCGGGCACAAAGAAAAGTGAGCACGGCCCCTGATTGCAGGCCTGCCCTTTGCTCTTGTCATGGCCCATTTGTAGAACGGGAAAAACATTTTTAAAAAGCGAGAAAGGAATCGGAAGCGATTCGAGCGCCGCGCCGCCATGTGTAGCAGTATGAGGGATGTGAAACCCCCCATTTAGTTGGTTAACCGGTTACAGGGAGGGTCACGCCAGCCTAGGTAGCTAGGGGCTGCTCTGGAGTCACTAGCAGCCTCTCTCTGCAGCGGGCCAGGGTGCCCTGCCTACAGGGTGCCTGGGTCTGCCGTGGACAGAGGCTGCTGCGGTTAACCTTAATGGGTGAGCCTCACACGTTAAGGTGTGTGCCACGGAGGAGACACACAAGCAGAGTGTTCAAATAAGTTTGAGAACAGCTGCCTTGGAGAGACCCTGCGTGGGGGACTAGCAATGCCCCCTTCAGTCAGCATGGCACCCCATCTAACTGTCCTATTTTATACGCCCCTCCCAGGACCTACGACGCCTATTCCACTTTCTTCTTGGACTCCAAAGGGCTGATCCGCTGTCACCGGATAGA